CGCCCCAGGGACCCCCCCCCACCCAGGGGTCCCCCACAGCTCCCCGCCCCCCACAGCTCCACCCACTGGCCCGGAAATCCCCACCCCCAGGGGCCCCCTTAGGGAGGGGCCCAGCCCCCCACCTCCTCCAGCTCTCAGAGACCCCCCCCCCGCCCAGGGGTTAGGGACCCCCAGGGGAGGGGAACCCCCCAGTCAGAGCGAAACAGCCCCCAGAGGCCCCCCCAACACAGGGGCAAAGGGGGCACCTTCCTCCTCCCCCCCCCGCATAGGGGCCCCGGACATGCCCCCCCTGGGCCCCCGCTCAGCCCAGCTGTAGAGGGCGGATCAGAGGTGGTAAGGGGTGGGGGTGGGTAGGTGGGCGAGAGACCCCCTCCCTGCCCCTGAGACCCCCACCCAAGGCAGGGCAGCGGGGGGGCTCGACATCTCCAGGGGGACGCTTCTGCCTCCCCCCTGCCCGCCCGGCTGGGGCCTGAATCCAGACAGGAGGTGCCCACGGAAGCTCAGGCCGGCCCAAGGCCCCGGTAACGGGGAGAGGTGCCAGGAGGGGACGCCAGCCTCCCCACCCTACTGCAGACTGGGTGCGGCTTGAAGCGGACCCAGGAGTCCGGGTGACCTGAGAGGCTTCCACCTCACCCCCAACGGGAGACGTGAGGTGAGTTCTCGACTAGGTGAAGCCTGCGGGGTGAGTCTTGTCTCTGGCATTGCTGTCAGCTCTCCTGGGAGCAGGGTCTAGCAGTTAGAGCAGGGGGGCTGGGAGCCAGGACTCCTGGGTTCTCTCCTTGGCTCTGGGAGGGGAGTGAGGTGGAGCCAGGACTCCTGGGTTCTCTACTCGCCTCTGGGAGGGGAGTGGTGTCTAGTATGTAGAGCAGACGGGCCTGGGAGTCCAGACTCCTGGGTTTAACTCCTGGCTTTGTTGCTGTGAATTTAAAGGCAAGTCACTACTCTTCTCTGTCTCAGTTTCCCCACCTGTGAAACAGGGCTTGTACCACCCCCCCGCCCTCGCTGCATGTTGGCCGGGTGCTTCAGGATCCTCCCGTGGAAGGCTCTGGGCCTGGGCATTGCCCCTTGCCAGCGATCAGGGATGGGGACAGGGTGCCCCTGTGCTCTGATTGCTTTTTTGCAGGCAGGGGAGAGCAGGAGGAGGGAGCCCATCATTGTGAGCCAGCTGTCTGTCACCCCTTTGCTGGGCCCATAGCGCGGCGCGCACGGTGCTGTCCAGAGTTCACAGGAGGGCCGGGCTGGGAGAGGAGGTTGGGCCGGTGCCTTTGGCTCAGGGCGGGGGGCAGCCTGCTGAGGGCAGGGAAGAGGCCGGTGCTACCTGCTGTTGGGGGATCCGGGCCCCAGTCATTGTGGAGGGGCAGGCTCTCGCGCCCCCACCAGCTTTGCAAGGTGTGGGATGGCTGCAGTGGGGGAAGGAGGAGGCCGTGGGGGGAAATCCAGAAGAGGCCGGTCTTGTGCCCAGGTTGGGATGGGAGGGCATCTTGCTGGGACACTGCAGCCCCCTTAGGGGGTGGAGTGGAGTCACTTGCTCAGACCAGCTCCAGGCCTGGGGGCAGCTGGTCCATGGGGCCCTGGAGAGGGAGTGCTCAGAAGTAGGGAGGAATTGGCCTGCAGGGCGTCCTGGGGACACAGTGCTGTGAGGGAGTGGAGCTGGCCCTGGGCAGGGAGATCCCAAAGATGGAGAAATGGGGCTGGCCTGGGGGTGTCCTGGGCAGGGAGATCCCAGGGATGGAGAAGTGGGGCTAGCCTGGGGGTGTCCTGGGCAGGGAGATCCTGGGGAGAGCGCGGGGAGGGGGGCTGTCCTGGGGGTGCCCTAGGCAGGTGGATCACTGTGGGGGAGGAGTGGGGCTGGCCTTGGGGCGCCCTGGGCAGGGAGATTCTGGGGAGGGGGAAGTGGGGCTGGCCCAGGGAGATCCCGCCGGTGGGGGTGCGGGAGAGTGGGGCTGGCCTGGGAGTGCCCTGGCTGGGAGATCCTTGGGGGGCGAGAGAGTGGGGCTGGCCTGGGACACCCTGGGCAGGTGGAGGCCAGCGGTGTTGACCAGCACAGGGAGTGGTTCTAATCCCCCAGCCCAGCGCCGTGCCTCTGATGGTTCCTTGTCCGTGCTCTGTCCAGATCCTCCCCGTCTGGCTCTCGGGTGACAGCCCAGGGTAGGGGTGTGTGTGTGTGGCCCTGATACGTGCCGCTGGCACTGCAGCGGGGCCAGCTGCTCCGTGGGGTGATATAAGGCCTGGATGATTTATTGCATCCTCTCCCCCTCCCCCCCACCTCCCCGCGAGTGCATCCTGGAAGTGTCTTTGTGCTGGCATGTACCCACCTGCTCCCACCCCATCCAGAGAGCGATCTGGCCGCAGCC